ATTTTTTTCGGAAGGATTGAATGGTAACTGAAGGACGGTCTTGATGAATATAAACTAAAGGATTGTATAGTCTTTAAGGCAAAAACAGAAATTAATTTTATTTTACATGTAAGATAAATTAAAAAGAAACGAACGTTCTTGGTAAACACGAACTAAAAGGTTGTATCGCCTTTGAGGCAAACAAAGAAACAAGCGTGAATATAACTTAATTTATTTATTTCTAATATTCTCTAAAATCAGAATTTTCATTCAAGACGCAATGGGACGAACTTATCTTACACTCTGTATGGAGAACGTTTACCAGAATAACAATTCCGTCCATGTCTGATCTTTGTGGGAACATTACGGCAGACCTGTTGGTTCTAACACTTGCGGACCAGCGTACGTACGATTGCGATCTTTACCGGATGCATTCACGTTCAGTGTATCGGTGACGTTTAATGCCACTTGGTCGCAGGCTGCGAGCCCAGACGAGCTCGAAACCTGTTAATACCATGGTTTCAAGAGGTTTGGCGCCGTGCAGATCGAAGAGGCGAAAGCCACACGTGCTGGCTATAAATTCTACGTTCTCATAATTACCCTGGCCCCATGGTGGCCGTTCCCTGTATCCGAAATCCAGGCGAACAACGGGGCATCAGGTTAATACGATAGCCTGCGCGTTAAGCTAACGGCAAATGCGATACGCGTTGATAAGCTTCGTCATTCTCGCCGCCTTAGTCGGTTCAACGATTGTCGCGCTGCTTGAGATAATTTGCATTTCGCTGAACCAGAATGGATGCAATTGAATTTTACATGTAGCGTAATAACAGTGGTCGTATGCATTGTAAACAAATTCCCAACCGTTCGCGTTTACTTATTTCACTATGAGACATCTATTGTCTTTTTTGCATTCTCACAGATACAAGGACTGTGGGTCAATTTATTGTTCCAGATTTTGATATTCTATTTCAGTTGGAGTTCATTTCCTGCAGAATATTTGCAGCAGTCGAGGATAATACGTCCCATGTGTAATTTGTCTATCGGATTAATCAGAAATTGGTGTGTTTGTTTTGGAAATTAACTCGAATCTAAAATCACACGAAGCTGTTTTCCCCAGTCAATATCGGTGCTCGTATCGTCGAAAACAATCGCTACTGTGTTTTTCCATCCTACTTGCCGCGCAATATTCTCGCTAGCCGTTACAGGACAATCTCGATATCGCATTCAATTACGTGACGGGCGTAGCCCTTTCATTGCGCAGCGGATTAAAATGCACAATTACGATAACAACAATAGCAACACGATGAAATCACTTGCGCAAGCACATATGTGATAACTGAGTTTCGAGCTGGCTGCAACTACTCCCATTGTAAGCAAATCACGTTTGTTTGTTGTCGTTTCGTACCTGGCCTACTGACTTGTAAAAAACTTGCGTTGGCTAGTTCATAGGAAAATTTCGTTACGACACTTTTGATATTTGATATCGAATTACGAATAGTTGTTTGGTATTGAAGTTTTCCTTCATTTTTTGAATAAAATGGCACTACCTTTTGTATAATCTATATGTTCGAGTGAATTGGAAGAATTGTTTTACAACTATATTGTTCTGGGAATTTTGTATTTAGCTACTCTTTATTTTAAGTCTGCCCATTTATATAGATTTATATTCAAGCACAAGATTTAATACCGTTTAAACAAGTATATTATAATTTTGTTTTATAAAGAAACTATATGATAGCAGGATTATTTTGAGTTCAAGAAGAAATTTAGAAAGAAACAAGTAGATTCAATACTTTCAGTCATTCAATGACTGCTGGCTGCTAGTTGTGGTAGGAATGATCAGTTTTTGTATCGAAATTTCTTCATTTGTTAATTGCAACAGTGACATTTGCGCCGAAATTCGTTTGTTTTGAATTCACAAATCTGAGGAAAATAGGCGAGTAAAGAGCACTTCAAATTCGAGTATAACTCTTAATTGGAATAGTACTATTCGAAAAACTGAAACGCGGAGGCTAATGAGACCCAATTTACTTTTCAAAGCTCCGGAAAACCCGAAGTGGGTTCTTCTGTAATCCGCACGGTTCGAAGCACTTTGCAAGCCTGTCTACGTTGCTAATTATCAAAGAAGCAGGTTTATTCAACTAACTTATACTCCAGGAGTGCGTCGCATTATGCTTGGCGAGTGCAATCAAAGCTTACTTGATTCAAAAAGAATATAATAATACTTTTATGATCGGCAGCAACATGTATTCTATTTATTTTAATTTAAACGAAGTGGAAGGGTCCTCCACTTTTCTTGCGAGGGTGCAATATGTTTAAAACTTTGAAAAGAAAAAACACTTGTTTGTGTCGACAAGGTATTGCTTTAACTACTTGCAAGAGAATTTCTATATACATGTAAATTTTGTAATGGAGCCTCCATTGAACCTGTAGCTATTACATAGTCACTGATGCGTGCACGGGTGATCGGTAATGGAACTCATTGTCAGAACTATGCTAGTTGCATCTCATTTCCTTTGTCGTGTTTCCCTTCCCACATTATTCTCAGTACACAATTTTGACATGCCCACGAGGATTACAACTTCAGACATCTGGTTGATTTACGTACAGGTTCAAAGTACTTTAAGCCCGTTACGATGTTCAATATAATAATATTTGTGTTGAATTATATAAATAGAAGCAATAAGAAAACTTGTATAAAATAAATAGTTTCCATTATTAATATTAAATACTAATAATATTATTGGAATATTATTAAAATAAATGAAAGGAAATAGTTTATATCATTGTTTGGAAGTAGACTCCAATTTATTTCCTAATCTAAAATAATAATATTCGTCTTTGAGTTTACGCAAGATTTTAATATTTGCATAAAACGCATAAAATTGTCGTAAGGATTGTTGGAAAACAAGAGAAGAACAGAGTTGCTCGCAGTTTTCATATGTAATCATTCTTTTATCATTTCTGGCTTTGAAGTACAGAAAGCCTGCATTGTAGGAATAAAACAAAAATGTAATACAAGTGAATTAAACCATTACACAATGTTCCTTTTGAGATTTTTGTGTTATTTTATTACGAAAACGTGTAACGTTTTTCATACAAAATTTTGCAAATTTGTACTTCTACAGGTATGAAAACCATAGTATAAAATTGTTTCAAGCACAGCTTTCGGATTTAATATTTCATAAGAGTTAACGGTCAACAATTTTTTTATGTAACGAAGTGGAATACATTGTAACCGTAAGGGAGGTTTCAACGAAAAATATATGTCACATGTTGAATTCCAAAAATAGATATTCTGTTGTACTTGAAACGGTTTCAACGAGGACGGAAATTGTTTTACACATTCCCGAACTTCCTCGAAAAACGTTTCTTTAGTATTACAAACCACTTTACAAAACTCGAGAAGCACCTTGAACGACGCAAAAAAGTAAAATGGAAACTAAACTCACAGGGTTCGCCAGCTATTGCGTTACTGTCACGAGAGGTATAGTAAACATTATTTTTATTCAATATCACGTCCACGGGAAACGTTACACGTTCGATCGAATGTGTATTTGCAATGTCGGTGTATCTACTCCCGACCTCACATTTTCTCTGTTCCATTATCCGTGGACGCTGGGTTATAATGTATCCGGTTCGGTTAGAGCGTCTCGTAGCTGTGCATCCGAGCCAGAACCTGCGTGTAACCCATTGTGCTATCTAGCACCGCAACATTGGTGTTAAATTGCAATTATTAATCGCGGTAAGTAAACTATACGAGGCTGCTACTTCCGTCGTGCGCTCAACCCCTCTTGGAAGCATGAAATCCGGCGGTTTCGTTGCCTCGTAACTCTCGGATCGTTGTCCTCGCAATTTTCCATCGATAACGCTGCGTCATAAATTTATTAAAAGCTCAGAGAGTATCTAAAACACGTTACAGTTTAAGAACACGAATGTTTTTCAACCTTCGTGAACCAAATGCCCACTTTGTCAGGTGGGTTTCTTAATTCGGACACTTTCACTTTTAAGAACTTAAAAGTGCATGTTAATTTTAAAAATGATGTAAGTATAGGCGTTAATAAAACATAAAATGATGCCCTGATTCTAAATTTTTCCAGAAAAGCTCGAGTATCTTTTCCCATTCCTTTTGCGCGAAGAAATGGTAAATTTACATTTGAATGCAAGTCGTGGCACTGCCTTTACAAATTCTCTCTGTGCAGGATTGCGCCATCGAAATTCACTTCTGATCTTGAATTTAGATTTTATTAGAACTTTTTTATCCACCGTATACAGGTTGACGATTCCTCTCGAAAAAATGTGCTTTCCATAAATGCCTCTTAGAGAGAATTGCCGTACGTGTTACTTTATCTTCGGGTGCAGCATGATAAAATAATAGCATAATAAAAGCTTAAATGGCCTTCTAGACGGAGATAAAGTTTGTTCCCTTACATGTAGCACGAAATTTCGTTGATGCATCTCATGCTGGTTAAAAGTCTTTCTTTCATCCCTTAAATAAGCTTCGTGGAGTTTTAAATCATTGCCTAGTTGCAGTCTTATGGAATTTTTTAAAGTAAAATTAAATATTCCGTCAAAAAGTAGCCGATTCAAGCTGTAATTTCCTAAAAGCATTGAGCGTTGTTTACGAAAGATAGGGTCATAACATCCTGAAGAACGTGCTATTTTTAAGGGCGCGACACGTGTCCCGTGTACTTTAGTGGAGCTGTTCCTTTATGCCGGGTAACGAAAGCAAATCTCGTTTCCCGTATAAAATGTGTCGGTATTATCTCCGTGCATTTTTCTCAGCGTGTTTCTGCAGTTTGAAACGCCAATTTCGTTGACAGGCAGCGCAAACATGCCGTCCAACACGTGGTGAAAATTCAATGCTCTTCGAGGTTTGAATTTTTCGACAAAAACCCACCGAATTGTGTAAATTTTATAGAATCCGCGATCGCTGATCGAGTTTGGTTTAGGGGTACATTTAACACCTTTTTGGCTAAACTTTCAAATGTAGTTAATGATGAATCGTTTGTTTGTTTCAGTACCGCGGGCAGTGTTGAGAGAACAATTTGCAAGCGACGTAGAGCCAGACGAAATGAACCTGATGCACGAGTTCGAGGAGGGCTTCGACAGGGCGGATTTCAGGGCGGAATTCAGTCCAAGTCCAAACCTCGAAGGGCCTCAACCGCAACCAAGGGATAACGTTTCCCGAAATTTCCCAACGGCCAGCTCATCGCCGCCACGTGCCCGTACGAACAACGACGGTGAGTACTATACCTGAACGTCGTTACTTCCTCTTCTTTAACTTGTTGGCGGTGAACTGATCCCCATAGGGTGCCACTCGAGTTGCTTTCCGAGAGTTTTCTCGCTTTTTCCCTCCATGCTGAGTCAATCCAACTCCGATACACGTCTCGTTCTATGATTTGATTCGTTTTTCCGCGTTGCACAGACTACAATCAAGTAGAATAAGATGAACTGCACCAACAAAATCGTTTTTGGTAGAAAAAGTACTCGGCAACACTAAAAATTCATACTTGTGCGAATAACACTTTTCAGCAACGGATAAAGCGTCCTTTATTTTCTATCATTTCAATTCATCACTTTGACAGCAATTCACACAACTCGCGAGTTTTATTTCGCGTTAAAATTGCTTCACTCTGTTGCGATGCTTTATTTCAACTGATATAAATTTCTCAATTACCACCCATTTGCGTGGCCTGCTCGTGAAACTTCTCTCTAACAATGTTTCATTATGTTTAAATCTGAAGAACACGCAGGTAATTGCAGAACGAGAATTTTCTCGCGCGTGAAACAGGTTTTTTAATAATTCAAGTGTGAACGGTTGCCTTTAACAACTTTTACACATAGAAATACTTTTTTAAACGAATATATAGAATTCTTTACTTATTTCCTACTTTCCTGCCTAGCAATGTACTTGGATAATAATTGTCTGCAACGTACAGAATTTCCTTTCCCTCCAGAATGTTCCGACAGTGTTTACCATCAGCGTCGATGCCTAGCATCGTAACGCGTTCAAATATTATTGCATCGTGTAACGCAATATTGTTGTTGAATTAATATTCAATTAAAGTGAATTGCACTGTGTAACATAATAACGTTTAATCCGTATCACGATAACATCAGTCAGCTATGAAACATTATGCATGTCCATTGAGAATTGGAACTCGAATCGAGTATCCCTATTGTTTCAATGCAATTCGAGTGGTATCCCTCTACTATAGACGTTTCTTTGTGTGTTGGAGCTTCGTTTAGACTTCTTAGATTTGCACATGCATGTTTACTATAGCTTTTCAGCTTTGCTTCAATCTAAATCTGCACTGACACATGACAACCGTACACAATCGTGCGTGGCATTAGGAGGTCAGAGTCGTTAGCAGCTGCCGCATACCGAACATTAATGCTCGAACGTAATTAAGGTTAATGCAACGCCGATATCATCGTTGTTTGTGACTTATATGCGCATATTGCGGGGAGATAGAAAGATCAGTCTCAGATTAAGGAGAATAGGGTGCCATGAATGAGGGGCATGGAGGCTGTGTCGAACAGTATATATTTACATCCTCTGCGTAATGGCTCACCCTTCCTCCCAAGGAATATGTATTTTTCAGAGGCTGTAAACTGAGCTGGAAGCGTGAAAGTACCTTCCAAAGTTACATTGCTGATGCCATCTTGAAAAGGATTGGAAACACAAAGGATTTATTTCAAAGAGACTCTTCGTGATTTGTGTTTGTAAATTCATCAGAATTAAAGAATAATAGTGATAGTAAAAGAATTATTTTTGCAGCCTTTGTTACCTACATTTCTGCCTATATAAGATTTTACGAGGATTTACGTAACACAGCTTTTTGAGTCGTGGATTTTAGTCATGCTCAAAGATTTAATTATTACAATTGAAATAAACATTTGTAAGTTTTATAGATGAATACAGAGAAACATATCATGAACACCTTATAAAAATTAAAAAATTGACAAATTTCTTTTAAGGTATTTGTCTACTATGGGGAGAAGGATAGATCAGTCCTGAAAGTAGTCGTGATTCGTATTGGGTCAGACACGCTGCCCCTCCGGGACATTTAGCTAAAGAATCACACTGTATAATTCTTACGGTTGATCCCTTCCAGTCGACGACTAATGGCGTCTTCTAAGTCGTGGCTGGTAACGTCGGCGGTTCACCTGACGCTAATAGGAAATCGATATCGTCGTGTTTGTGAATCGAGACGCTCGTCGCGTTGCGGCCACGGGAAATACGAGTCCAAATTCAGTCGACGTCGTTGCCTGGGCGCGTGATACGGTTTCCGAAATCCGGTCAACGATCGCAAACGATGAACCGTCGCTACGTTCTAATAATTTCCTACCATTGTTTTATTGTTGTGCGCGGGACGGGTCGTAACAGCACAAAAGCCCCACGGTTCTTTGTGAAAATGAAAAAAAAAGAATAGACTGAACGAACGAAGCGAATATACCGCACGCGGAGCTTCGTTGTTTTTTTGAACGAAAAAAATTGATTTCGTTGGGGATCCATTCGGGGTATGTCCACTTCTTTTCAAGCTGGATTGAATTATTCTCAGTTTGTCTATGATCGCGGAACAGGTAACGCTAAATTTTTTGATGTTGTGAAGTTACTTTGGAAATCTATTTTCGGATCAGGTGCAAACTTTTCAAGTAAAATGTATTTACAACAAAGGTGCATGAATCAGTCAAGAAAATTTTTAGAAAACAGTAGAACTCGAGAATATTGAAAAATATTAGTGCATCAGTTTCTGAATACCCTTCGAATTGTTGGTCTTGGTGATTTTTTTTTTTATATCCTGCACATGACCACGAATATTCTATTCCCTGCAGAGATTTGCAATCTGGTACCATTGAAACTCCGCAGATGCTAGGGAACTATGTATGTATTTGGCAGACGCTGATCTCTATTGTCTGGGATGGTGTAGCGTTTACTACTTCAGAAACATGGAGCGTGTCATCGGTGTGCTGGTGTTACTAACAGTAGTGGTGGACGTTGGAGACTTGAAGCAGATATAGAGTTCACCGCCAGGTCTGACCGATACAGTACGTTACTACTGGCGCTGAAACCACTGCCAGAAAATTCGAGTAGAAACGGTAGATCGAGTTTGTGGCTCGACAACATTAATCATTTAAAGGAAATTTTACAATGGTCCTACTACGGACGAAACTTTTTAATTACCTGACGAATTAATCGCGTAATTCTTTTTTATCTTGAGCACCTTAAGAATAATATCGTTGTATTCGTACAAAAGTGAAGTCTGAATTAATAACAAAAACTCGTAAGCTTACTCTGAAATAGTCTACATTTTCTTGTCCATTCCAATACAATTAATACTCATCAAATATTCTAAAAGGCACCTGTCGAATACTCCAAAAGCTTCCTTATCAACTCAAGAATTCCGTCCCGTCACCGATAAGGGCACAGATCCACGCATGTTACACGACTCACCTCCAACACCCCTTTAATTAATTGTTCTGTAAATTAACTCGACACGCTCGGAGCGCTTTCGTGTCGCGAATGATATTCATTTACCCAGGGATTCGTCGTATTTCGTTTCAAATATTGACTACGTCGCTCGCGTAATTAATTCAGCGACAATCGCTCGTCGACGCGCGGACAGTGACGATCCCTCGGTGTCTGATAACGCGTAAATACGCGAATGGGCGAGTCGTTGACAGATAAAAGTTTCCGGGCCGCGTAACTTCATAGTAATCAAACGGCGCGTCACCCGTGGAGAGGGGGAAATCTCGTTGTTCGCAACTCCGAAAGCGATTTCCGAGCTAATTTCCCGTCTGGTGATTCCTTTAAACGCCTCCTGCCTCGGCTCGTGTCGCGGCGAGTGAAAAATGAGGGAGAGCGTTGTTTAAGAATGGCAAAGAAAAGAACTCGCAAAAAATTCAGCTTCGGGGAGGTGACTTCGAATTGACAGAACTTTATTAATAATTTAAACAGCTGCCACTTGTGTCGAATGAATCTGTTAATTGGGCTTGATCTCATTCCATCGACGGAAGGATACTTCGAGGAATTTTATTACTATGTAGTTTTGTTGGAGTATTGTGTTAGCGAGACATTCGCTAGGTTAGAAGAGTTGGGTAGAAATATTTATTTGTATTTTGACCCTTAAATCAAATCCAAAATTTATATTTATAAGATGTAGATATTAATTCTGTGTTTTTGCATTGAATCATTTATAACTCTAGTTTATCATAATATGCTATTCATATTTAATTCTCAAAAATTACCCCGATAGTGATCATCCAAAAATGAAAATTGCTTATAAATAATACGTTTTAAAACGCCAAATCGCTACTGAATTACTTAAACCTTCGACTTATATTTCAAAGATTTCTTTTACGAGTCCAGATGCTCTAATTGAAATTCTTTTCGCTCGAACACTTCCAGTCGCGACTTCCGCGTTGCTTTGACCACTTATTTCCAGATGCCGCGCCGACTCGAAGATAAAAAGAAAATCGGGACGAGCGATTCCTTTATCCGAGAGTTCTGTCTCTTTTATTGCGTTTAGCCACTTCTTCGCAACTCGATCTATTTCGTTTGAATACGTTAATGCGAAGAAGAGTATTCGGAATATCGTATTAAATAACTTCGTACTTGGAGCGTTTTGCATATTATCCTGGCAAACTATGTTTATTACATTTACTTTGACGCCGCAGTCGTGAATCTTTTAAACCCATTATGCTACACTACAGTCTATGATAAATTATTTATAGTCTTTCCCGCGTGGGCGAAACACTGGACCGCAATTATTCCCAAAGACTTGATTTATACATATCTATTCTCAGAGATTGAAATATATTAAATACCTACATTTCAAATTATTTTATTTCTCGAGTGAAACCTTAAACGGAGAAATTATTTCAATATCATGTGACAGAATTAATTTTCTGTATACATCTTTAATCAATCTTGTTATTTAATATTGTTACATTCGAACTTTTAAAATATATGGAGTGTTTCGATACTTTCTCTGTCAGACTTACTTTTCTACAGATGGTGCGATTCCTGTGGGCACTTTTAATTGATAATTCTCGTTCGGTAATTAACAAGAACATTTTCTTACTTTTTACTCCAGTGCCACAAAAGAAGGTTTTGCAGGAACGCGGAGGAGTAATGCCTGCGGCTACAAAATTACGTAATTGCGTCCTCAAGGTCTCGCATATTCATGTCTCCGCTACGCTTGGTAACTACATGTTAATTAACTTTAGCGGTAAA